TGGAAAAGCAATTAGTGGAGAACAATTTGGGTTTTGATGTGGTTTATATGAAAGGAGGAAAAAAGTGAAAGCCGCTTACAACTCCCTGTAACGCCGAATTAGAGCGCAGCTCTTGAGGAGGAGGAGGGAAGAGCGCTGGGGGGGGGGAGGGGGGGGTTAGACTAACCAGGGGGGGTCACGTGACCCCCAATGCCGATGATGTCATCACTGACGTCACTGATGATGTCATCAGTGACGATGACGATGCGGGTACCGATGACGTCATTAGTGACGTCACTGATGACTTCACCAGTGATGATGACGATGACGATGCGAACGTCGGTGACGTCATCAGTGATGATGACGATGACGATGCGGATGCCGGTGACGACATCAGTGACGTCACTGATGACGTCATCAGTGATGATGACGATGACGATGCGGATGTTGGTGACGTCACCGGCATTTACATCATCATCATCACTGATGACGTCACCGGCATCCACATCGTCATCGTCATCATCACTGATGACGTCACCGGCATCCACATCGTCATCGTCATCATCACTGATGACGTCACCGGCATCTGCATCGTCATCGTCATCATCACTGATGACGTCATTATCACTGATGACGTCACCGGCATCCACATCGTCATCGTCACTGATGACGTCACCGGCATCCACATCGTCATCGTCATCATCACTGATGACGTCACCGGCATCCACATCGTCATCGTCATCATCACCGATGACGTCACCGGCATCCGCATCGTCATCGTCATCATCACTGATGATGACGTCATCAGTGATGATGACGATGACTATGTGGATGCCGGTGACGTCATCAGTGTCGATGACGTCCTCGGGGGGTCACGTGACCTCGGGGGGTCACGTGACCTCGAGGAGGGGGTCACGTGACCTAAGGGGAGTCACGTGACCTAAGGGGAGTCACGTGACCTCACGGGAGTCACGTGACCTCAGGGGAGTCACGTGACCTCGAGGAAGGGGTCACGTGACCTCAGGGGAGTCACGTGACCTCGGGGGGTCACGTGCCCCCCCCCCCCCACGAAGTCACGTGACCCCGGTGGGGGGCTCGCGCGGTGCATTATGGGACATTTCCCATGATGCACCGCGCGGTTACGCCGACGCCGACGCCGACGGCGACGGCGACGCCAACGGCGACGGCGACGCCGACGCCGCTCAAGCCGGAAACGGGCCCCTAAGAGCTGCGCTCTAAAAATTTATTACAAGTAATCCCAGGACTAATCTACGCAGCAGTGGCGTCACTAGGGTCAACGGCACCCGGGGCGATGACCGCGGCAACCCCCCCCCCCCCCCCCCCGCTCGTCGCCCGCCGCGACTCCCCCCCCCCCCCCCTCCGCTCGTCGCCTACCACGACCCTCCTCCCCCCCCCCCCCCCCCCCCCCACCCCGCCATTGCTCATAAGTCATTACAGATAACCGCGATACATTACAGGAACTAACTGGAAAATGTGGAGAGGAAGGGGGACAGCTTTGGCCCGAATATTAGTAGCGACAAGTCTGGAATAATGGTGCTCAAGGAAAAGAGGGAACCCCTGAAAATACAAGAGAGTGAAATAGACCATGTAGAATAATACAAAGATCTGGGAGCATTGCTCAATGAGGGAAGAAACTATCTACAGGGGAACATGAAGAAAATATAATTAGAAATGGTAAAAGAAATTCAGCTATTATGAAACTCGAGGCACTACCCTTAGCAAAAAGAGGCAGTACTTCAAACGAAGTTGAAATATATTTAGTATGAATATTCATTTTGTATTTATTCTGTATTATTTTGGCCGCATTCGAAATACGCGCGTAATGTATTCAAAATACATTATAAATATGAATCAAAAAATATTTTAGATTTACCAAAAATATTATTCATTCACCCTCAAGATGCCATTTGTGGATTAAAAACCGGTTACACAATTTTTTTTTATTTTCGATTTTGTCAGCAAATGGTGTCCCTGTGGTATTTGAAGGCACTACTAAATACATCTCACAAAGCCACATTAGAAACGAACACAAACACAAACACCATGACGCACTGAAGAGCTCATTCACAGACCCGTTGACTGCTCGAGAGCCTTATATAGCCTACATATTGAAGGTAATAATTTTTTCGGTGACCACCTCTGCGCTTATTAAGGTTACAAGTATTCGATCTTCTCCTCGGGAGTCTGTCAAGGGGGAAACAGTGTTTTGAAGTTCGTGGACGATATCTCTTACTAAAAGGCATTGGTACAACTAATAACAATTCGGCACAGTCCCTAAAACAATATCCACACAAACGGCTCATAAAATACATTTTATTGCTTCTCTGCGTAGCACCACTCAGGGCGAAGCGAATCAAGGCAGTTTCTTCACTTTAAAATACTGTAAACGACTTTATTTTCGTGAGGACCTCATTCTCGCAAAGTTGGCGAATCGCCTACAATTCCGAAAAATAGGTCCCGTGAACAATTCCGGCAAAATGTAAAAACATTAAAATCCATATTGCGATCCCAGCGCGTCGCGAAAATTAGAATTTGCGAATTATTCCTAAACTCCAACTTTGAGCTAAATCGCGAAATATTGAGCCCGCGAAAAATAAATATTTTACAGTAGTTGTTTTGCCTTTCCTTTTTAGTAGTTGACTATTTAATATGGTAGTTAATGTCACTGTATTAAAGTCACTATTCACATCACGTACAATGGTGAGTATACACGTTCAGTGAACTAACATTGTGCTAACAAAACCACGCCAAAAGTATCTGTTCACAGCACCTGCTGAAGCTTTCCAGCATCAGCAAATGTTGTGGTTGTAGTTCCCGAACCCCGTTTGTGATTGGTGTGCAAGGAACTGATCAGGTGTGTTCTTGATAGAAAAAAGGAAACAATAACATAAACTGGGCTGATTTATCAGTGCGATACTGCGCAATTCAATTGTCAAACTAATCAAATGTATTTAGGCGCTTCAGTATACTCCATATCTGCTTGAAGTGAACTTCAGAAGGGGAGCTTTTAAATATTTTGGTAGTTTAAGTCAAACTACCAAAGTATTGCAGTCAAAAGGTACTTAGAGTATAACACAACAGTATTTACGATTTTCAGGTATTTTAAGAGTATTCTGCACGTATTCTTGATTGCTTCATTTTTTTAGGGTTGGAGTATATTTTGCATGAATTAAATAAATATTTCAAGAAATATATGTGAAAGGTATTTTGTGCCTATTAATTTAGTATTTACATATTTCAAAACGCATGAAGGGAACTTCAAATGTAGTTTAAGTAAAGGTATTTTAAAATGATTTTTAGAAGTATATTTCAGTACTAAGTAACAAAAAAAGAAGTTTATATTTTCGGTATATTTTTCGTGTACTTACAATTATGAATTGTATTTCAAATACACTCAAATTAGAATATGGTATATTTCAAACGTATTAGTTTTCGCTAAGGGTATGGAAATGATTATAATGCAATTAAATGCAAAGGTGCAAGCGAGCTGGACAAGAATGACAAAAATAATCCCTGGAGAAGGGGAACAAGAGGGACAAAGGACAAACACAGCTAGGGGATTGTTGGTAAAGCGCTGGTAGAGCGCAGGGCAGAGAAAAATTGGGACTCCCTCCCGGGTGGCTCCGGCCCAAAGTCTCAGCCCTGTTTCCTAGTGGTCCCGGTTGGGGTAGCGCCGAGTAGGTTTGACCAGAAGAAAATCGACGACTCCCTCGCTGAGTGTGAAGGCGGTTCGGTGACGCCTTTAGTTTTTTGCCCAATCCCCCAAATGTCATCCTGGTGATATCCCCACACCGCCTCGCGATAGTTACAAAAATGCAGGGGAAGCAAATTGGCTTCGGGATCTCGGAGGCCATGGGAGAGCAATAATATGTTTTGGTTTCTAAGCTACAGCTTACGCCACCTATAGGTGGCGTAAGCTATCACCCGTTATGAAGGGTAAAGCCATTAGCATCCATCCATTCATTCACAAAGGATTCGGACGCGGGTCCGCGGGTCGTACTTTTCAGAGGCACAAAGGGGGACAGCGGCTTTATCACTGGGGCGCGCGTTAACGCCCACACTCATTTACACCGCTCCGCGGCGACAGTCTGCGGATGGGTCATTAAAAATATTAAGTTATTAATAGGGTGACATATTCCTCAAGGTAGAAAACGGGACATGCCTGTTGGGGGCTGGGGTTTAAAAGATTGAGCTTGGGAGGAAGACTTTAATGAAATAACTGCTCTCCTTTCAAAACGTTACCATATTGCCCTAAGCCCTAGGGCCTAGGGAACAGTCCCACTCACGGTTCAGTTGCATGCCCTCATTTGGATGGTCCTGCTTCGTGTCCTTCGTTAGTGTGGGAGTATTTTGCCGACGACTGAAGTTTCCTAAGCGGGACTTTATCCTGCAAGACTCGGCTGTAAAAGTCTGCGCACACATATATACAAAAAAGAATCACGTCCCGAAAACGGGACATGATTCTTCATTGGGACAAAAAGACGGGAAGGCAGAAGCAGACCTCAAAAACAGGACTGTCCCGGCCAAAACGGGACGTCTGGTCAGCCTAGTTATTAACCCACCTGGCCCACACGTGCACACCGCTTCGCGGCGCCCCACCGGCGGTCCAATCTTCGCTGTCCCCCGTTGCACCTCCGAAAAGTCAGTTCCTTTGAACGCTATGTCAACGTTTGTCACCCAGAACGTCTCCCGAGTACCGAGGCGGGGCAGCAACGACGGCTTCAAAATAGCGACGTAACGAGCCTATTCGGGGCGCAGCACGGTGGGAGCTACACGTTCGCCGGGCCTATCAGTCACCTAGCTTTCATCACGTGACCTCTCTAGATCTAATCACGACCCAAAGGCCTCGAACGTTCGGACCTGGCGTGTCCTTTGTTTCACGAAACGACGCAACATTGAGCATCTAACCCCAACGAGCCACGCACAGCGTGTCAACGTGCTGAAACGGAGTGACGCTAAGGTTTACTTTTTGTTGAAACACGACGTAAGACAAAGCTTACCGCTGATCCAGTTGTGATGTGAACTGGTGCTCCTGGATTTGTGTAGGGCTTATAGCTCCCGTTGTAAACCTAAATGGAACGAGAAGTTTTTGATGTATTCGTGATTTCGACCGAATATATTACGATCGCCTTTTTCTTTTTGGGACGTACAGATTAACTACGAGAGAAATGTATTGAAGCACGAATAGCCTTGCCTTGCGGTCGTAGACAGGCCAGAGCCTTTCGTAGGAGTGCTCGTGAGCCCAGAACTCGAGATCGACTCCGTACTTGTAGAAGAGGTCTTCCAGCCCGAACAGGTGAACGAGAGGGATGCCCTTGCGGATCTGCGTTTGAGAAGGGTGAGGCACGGGTGTTCTGACGTTCCTCGAGGATTTCCCAAAAATGCCGTTCACTAACGATGAACCGGGGACGCTGCAAGCCATCCCAGCGGCCAATACAGCGCTGTGAACGTACCACGTGACCATGCGCCCCGCACGTCGCTGCGCCTCTCCTAAACGTCACGTGGAGTTCACATGGAGTTGGATTGGCTCTCACGGTTCGTAGCGTCCTTTGCAGTTCATCGTGAAGCGATCTGGTGTCCACCATGGTCTTCAAAAATAAAAGCGGAAGATAGCGCAGAGAAGCTCATTAGTAGCTACAATGGCTTACTGCATTAGAGACGGTTGCGCAGGAACCGCATCTAATGGTGGTGACCAAGCTTTCACCGGGGTTCTAGTCTTTAGCAAGAACTAGGACTCGGCCCGTGCGTGATGGTGTTTTGTATGTCTTGAAATTTGACACCTTCGCTTCACAAAGCTTGGCAGCTCAGACACTTCATTCCTTATGGACGGTCGTGCATAGGGTTGGTTAGTATACAGGGATACTAACGATGCTCTCCTTGAAACTGCAGTCGTTTCGACCTTCATTGCTGCAGTACATGGGCCGGTGACCCATGGTTATGATCCACGGCCTCTTGGCTCGGTTCTCGGGCTTCGTTGCCTCCTGCCGGAGAAGAAAGAAAATCCCAATGGAAAGAAGACCAGGAAAAACACAAAATAGAAAACATACTCTTTTTTTTTTCTTTTTTTCTAATATTGCAGAGCGCAAATTCGTCTGCTTCTTTTGCTGGGGTTGTGGTGACGTCAGAAGGCCGAGCTTTTATTGACTCTGATTGAAGGAAAGTGGCCCTCAAGGCAGCTTGCTTTGAGGTTACCTACTATCAACCAGAGCCAATCGGAGCTCGGTGTTCTGACGTCACCAGAACCCCAGCAAAGGAAGCAGACGAACTTGCGCTCCGTGCACCACTGTTTCACGGTCACTTTATATTTCTTCAGAATGTAATCCCTTAATGTTTAAAGAATCGACGAGTCAGTTCGTAATTTCGACTCTGCGCGTTCCCCGCGGCTGACTGTTGGGGCGTGTTTCTTTCTTGTATGAGAGTTCTATCACATTCGTCACACAGAAACGGTCTGCAGACATGCTCGAAGCACATACAAATATACGAAGAAAACACGATTAAAAACAAAACAAAAAAGAAAAAGAAAAGAAGAAGGAGAAAAAAGAAGGAGGGGTGCGTTACAGTTTTAGCTGCTTTTGAGCAACTAAACATGAACTAATCAAATCAATGTTTGCAGAAAAAAATAACGCAATTTTACGCGTATGCGAGTACATTTTTCAACATTACCAAGAATGCAAATGCATTTTATTGAACTATATTATTAGCCCCTGTTATTACTGTTTTAAGTATTACTTTTTTAATCACAAGCTTTGTTGCATATTTATGACTATTTACTGTTTGATGATCTATCCTTTCCAAGTTGTAGAATTTTCTTTTCCGGTTTGTGTTGTGGGCTACTTTTGATGTTTGTGCTAAAGCGCAGTAAGGCATCATCATCATCATCATCATAATCGGTCTCAGTATTATCATTATCTTACTTTGAGATCTTCTTCGAGCCAGTGGTACTGGTTTGCGATTTGCGCGTACCCGTACTCGACGAAAAAGTAGAACTCAGTGGAGAAGCTGATGATGTGAGCGGGTCCTAGGTCGAAGCTGGAACGAGAACGGAAACAATACGGTCGTACTTTGTGTTTCTTTAAAAATACGCACGCACGAACACACGTGTGCACAATAAAACATAAAATGTACTTAGGATTAGGTTGCTTCTTTTCGCACAAATCTAAAACGAATTTATTGTACGCATATATTTTTCTCTGCGCTCCATACCGAGACGAATACGCGTACGTGAACACACTTTGTGCTCGTACAGGTGTCTTCGTCTATACTTTGAAAACCAAGTAACCCGTTTCGAGGACAGGTGAGGAACCCGGGGGGCTTTTGCATCGAAGCTGCAATCTCGAACTCCTCAACACACGTCCCGCGTTTTTCGAAAATTTAATGTAAGAACGGATCAATCAACGTCCTACCTAAAGAAGTGGTTGTTTATACTGCCGCTCTTGTCCACCATGCTGAATCTATTGACGTAGTTGGAGAAGTTGCTGGAAAATAAAGGAAGTGGATACGTACAGCTTTTCAGAGTGTCATCCTGCGAACAGACACTTCGACAGCTTGTTTGTGCACAAGATGCGTTTGTACAGGGACGCACTTACTAGCTGTTCTCATGGTTGCCGACGCAGGTCATGTACGGAACGTACGCGGCCACGGGCTCGATTTGTCGCATGAATTCATCCCCAACACGAGCGTTGTCCTGTGGAGAAATATAAGATGTGAGTTTGCCGCCGGACTGAATCCGTCCATCCCCCACCAGTCCTTCTTCCAACAATACTCCACCTCTTAGCCACATGAGGTACGAGGTGGTGCAAAGCCTACACTACAGAATGCTGAAAATATATTTTATTAATGTAGTTTATTGTTCCTGCGTTTCCGAACATACCGCTTTAGTTTTCTTGGGGTTTAGTCAACGCTAATTGTAAACTCGAGAGAATATGTTGGCACTCTTCAGAAGTTTAACACTGGAAAAGCGAGTTTCGAGTGCCTTTGCTCCACACGAAGGAGAGCGGGGAAAAGATAGCGAAAGCGAAATAACACCGTGAGCAATATTCTTTAGCGTCCTATAGAAACAATAAGTTTTTCAGGTTTGTACTCACAGAATCCATATCGTACGCGAAGTCACCTGAAACACGAACGTAGCTATAAGTTCAGATGATCTATCACGATTACCAGGGTACTGCAATAGTATAGGAGGTTATAGAACTGCGATATGGCCATGAATAGGTGTTCTCATCTATAAACAAAAAAAAACGGGCCTTGCAACTGCCACGAGTTTATTTATTCACAGGGGCCCGATGCACGATCCCAGATTGGAAGTAGTTCTGCAAAGCTGACATTTCAGGTCAAGCCCACTTCCCGCGATGTAAACATTTAAACAATTCAAATGTAACTTGTAACACAAGATATCGTTTGAAGGATAAATAATTAGTACGTATAATTACAGTCAAACACTTCAAATACAGTTAGTTCACCTACTTGTCAAATTTTGCACAAGGTTACCAGGAAAGCAGAAGTATGAAGAAGATTAAATGTTTCTTAGTAAGTTTGTCACAGGTATGATGTTAACGCATGCCATGTGTGCGCAAATACGACCTCAACGAAATTTCCACAAATGTTAATGTTTTGTCAGTGGACATCCTCAGGATCAGTCTATTGCCTGGGGGGTGGACGTCTAAAAACTGCCCAGAGGACTTTTCCAGCCTTTGTTTGTGCCAAGTGCGTCGCGGCCTATACAAAACCACAGCGTCTTTGTCTGCCGCGTGATCAAGACAAGCCGGCTCACCCACGTGGAGAACAGCGTCAATACTTCCTTTCTGGGCTTCCTCCTGAAGGAAAGGAAGGGACTGGGCGTTCACGTTGCCCATGTCCCCGAACACGGCCAGTCGCGGGCTCCAGTGCTGACCACTCCTCATGGCTCGAAAGAAAAACAGGGAGCTCCAGCCCATGTTGGAACCACAGTGGTACCCTGCGTCACAGTCGCTGTTGGGTGCCGCGGTTCTACAGACATGAAGAACCGAGTTATGGGAGAAGTCTAACAAGTCCTTGCAGTTGTGCCTTTCCCGCGACTGAACCTTAGCTGATTTCATAGATTCTCATAAAAAAAGCGCGCTATGTAGTAGCTGCTGTGACGTTACTCAGAGTGCGCCATTAGTTGGGCCCGTTCTCTGAGAACGCATTGGACACGAGAGATGCGTCAGCGTCCGCCGAGGTCTTAGATCCACGCTCTTTGTCTAAGAAATGGCGACCGACAATACTGCTTGATGAGGGTATGATTAGCTCAGAGAGCCAATCACAGCCATCTACGAAGAGTGAAGAGAAAATGACACGTGGCTCGCTCACTCAATACTCGTGGTCGTGAACGAAGTCCGCGAACTTACTGTACAAGGAGCCGGGTTGGAGGCCGGTCAACGTGACCCTGTGAATGAAGATGACCCGGTGTTCGGCCCCACCGTCCTTAAACTTGGTGCTGTTGTTGCCCACTGCCCTCTGGTCCAGACTCCCTTGTCCAAACTCGACCACTGACTCGTGAGTCTCGTTGAAAGTGGTCCACGTGACGATCATTTGGGTCGGGTCCACTGAGCACGAGAAGACATCAGTGATCGGAGGTCAGAGGACGGTTGCCCTTTACATCATTTACAGCGCACTAGTTTTGTCACGTTTTTTTATCATTATTTACATTTTAGATCCAGTATATGATCCTATTCTTAACGCATTAGATCTTACACCCCAAAACCAGAGATGGCAAACTTACTCTCAAAAAGTAATTAAATTACATTACTCATTGCTTTTCTGAAAACAGCAGAAATAAAAATAAATTACATCATACAAGTTACTCCAGACTAAAACTGATGACATTACATTACAATTACTTTTCAAAAGTAATGAAATTACTTTGACATTACTTTTTAATGCTTTGAGGCAGTCATTCGTCCTCATTGTATTTACAGTTTATGTAGCAAACCTCAGATCTTCCTTTTTACACCGCAACAGTCTTGTGCTCCTCAAAGTGAACCACACTGAACAGTCGTTTTGCTGGCGCACACAACACAAATTAAACATCATGAATAGCTTCTTCTTTAGCCTCAAAGACAGTAGCGCCGTCTTTCCTGCACGGCATGTTGATCCTGCTCCTCACGTGACTGAATTCGGCGAACAGCGGCGCCGCGCTCAAAAGCAGGGGAACGTACGGCCTGGAGCGTGCAACCTGTACTTTCCTGCACATCATTTGATCCGGCTCCTCACCTGATCGGATCTCGGTGAATAGCGGCGCGGCGGCACGTGGCCAAATCTGCGATCGGGCACTCTGCAGGTCTATTCACACGATGCATCTTGTTGGCGAATCTTGTGTCGCGAAACTAGGTTTCGGGAAACAGATTCCCCGTCTGAACGCGACCAAAAGAGTGGCGCGTCTCCGAAAAAAGTGGCGCGTGTTTCTCGCTTCTGGAGCAATTTTTCGCTGAAACCTCACCGAGGCCTGTCAATCACCCGAAGGAGGAACGCGCGGACGCTGCCGAGCTTTTGCAGTATAGTCTGATTTCTGTCCGATTTCGTATCCAAGCCAAAGAAAAAAAAAGTGAAAGCCGTTTACAACTCCCTGTAACACCGAATTAGAGCGCAGCTCTTGAGGAGGAGGAGGGAAGGGTACTGGGGGGTTAAGTGACCTGGGGGGGTCACGTGACCTTGGGGAGTCACGTGACCATGCCGATGATGTCATCAGTGACGTCATCAGTGACGATGACGATGCGGACTCCGATGACGTCATCAGCGATGATGACGATGACGATGCGGATGTCGGTGACGTCATCAGTGACGTCACTGATGACGTCATCTGTGACGATGACGATGCGGATGCCCCCAAAGTCACGTGACCTGGGGGGTGTCACGTGACTTTGGGGGGGGGTCACGTGACCTCGGGGGGGGGGTCACGTGACTTCAGGGGGTCACGTGACTTTGGGTGTCACGTGACCTTGGGATGACCTTGGGGGTCACGTGACCTTGGGATGACCTTGATTACGCCGACGCCGACGCCGACGGCGACGCCGACGCCGCTCAAGCCGGGAACGGGCCCCTAAGAGCTGCGCTCTAAAAACAAACACACACACAGACTTGGCGAACGACAAGCGGAGAAGCGGTGCGTACGGGCGATGAGTCTTCTTACTCGTTTGGAGGTGTGTGAACGGCGAATTAGCAGTGCGGCTTGATGGCGCGGTGCAGGTTCATCAACAGTCGCGACGAGTGCAAGCACCGCACATAAACATGATGGCTGGGGATAACTCTTTTTATTAGCGGTGCAAAGATGTCCGAAATTCTTCGAGATCATCCGCATGTCCCTTGACGTTAGCGGTCTTTCCCGGGTTTGGTAGTAAACCCAGCGAGCCGAATCTGACGAAGTTCATTGAGTGAACAAACTGTCTCTTCACACTGTGCGTACTTCATATCATTTTGATGCGAAACGCTTCATATTCCCGGAGCAGATGACAAGGTTTGGCGAAATTCTCGTGAGGCAATACGTCACAGGTTTCGCGCGTCAAACTCCACGTGTGAACAGGCCAATTTTGCAAAATCTCGGTTTCGCTAAACTGTGGCGCGTTGAAAAGATGCGTCGTGTGACTTATGACTCCGTCGTCGAACATCCACGCTTTGCGCGCGGCGGGCGGCACATTGGGAATGGCAACGAGGGTAGAACAAAAATGAAAGACGTTTACAACACCCCATAACGCCGAATTAGAGCTCCGCTTTTTTTTTTTTAGCTACGTTGCATGAGTGTCCGTTGTGATGTATTTTTAGCTACGTTGCATGGGTGTGCGTTGTTATGTATTTTTATGTTTTTTTTTTCATTTCTTGCATAATTTCTGTGTTGCCCCCTCCTTATGTAATGTCCTCGACAGAGGACCCTTAAGGATTAATAAATGAAGATGAATGAATGAAGTAGGAGGAGGCAAGGGTACTGAGGGGAGGGTATACCCCTCAACCTCACCTCCTTATCCTGCCTGCTACTCCTCCGCCCCTCCTCCTCCTCCTACCCTCATCCCTCAAATTCCTCCCATCCTCTCATCCTCCTCCCCCCTTCTCCCCTCTTTTCTACTGCCCTTCACCCTCCTCCTCCTCCTCCTCCTCCCCGCGCGGTGCATTATGGGACATTTCTCATAATGCACCGCGCGGTAACGCCGACGCCGACGACGACAGCGACGGCGACGGCGACGCCGCTCGAGCCGGAAATGGGCGCCTAAGAGCTGCGTTTTAAAAGGGGGGGGGGGGTCCTCTTGGTTCATGACAAGCAGCCCTTTGGATTCGCGGAGATTTTGAAGGACCCCTGTCAACAAGTTCAGAGTTACTGCATGTAGATATTGTTGACTGTCTTCTCTCCACCTCTGTCTTTTTTCTGATCGCTATCACCATTCTGCACTTCCCTCTTCGTCTCTCTCTCTCTCTCTTTCTTTCTCGCTTCCAATCCCCCATATATACACTGTTCCTTAAAATGATATGCGTTGACCCAGGGGTGTTGGGGGTGCATCAGTTATTTTAGGAAATGGCGGCGAATTTTGAACAAAGCTAAGTGGCCGCAGTTTTACTCTCGCTTACGAACTATTTAACACAATCAACCAATGACACACTTATTTTTATCGGTCTTATAGCCGCCATTAATTCAATCAGAAAAACGACTGGATGACGTCTCGAAAGCCGATAGTGCGTTTTCACATGACTATACGACATTTTTTGTTAAAGGTTGGTTAACTCTTATACTCGAACTCAGAAGTTGTGCATATAGTACTGGGAAAGAAAAGGACGCTAGCGTGCGGTTCTTGAAAAAGCTTAATTTTACCGAGACCAAATTTAGGGAATGTACTTTGAAGTCGGAAGTTGTACTTTCCTCGGAAAGTACCAGAAAAAAGTATTTTAAGAGTAGTACAAGTATCTATTCAGAGAATGTAGTACTTCAAGTAAAGTGGAAGTTTTCTGAATTTACTTGAAGTAGTTAAGTACCGTACTCAAAGTAGTTCCCAACACTGGTGGAGATAAAGCCAGCCTTTGTCCCAGCTGCACTACTCGAACGCCTTTGAACGCCTGCGTCGCGCGTTTGGCTCTCGTATTTGAACGAGTTCGACGAGCGCAGTGCAGATAACGGCAGCTAGCTTTAGGTCTACTGTCGAGATCGGTTATAACGAAGTCAGGGGAATCGAAAATAACTTCGTTATATCCGCTATTTTGTTATAACCGACTTCGGTTTAACGAAATTCAAAATGGAATGGGAAATCGTAATCGCTTCGCTGTAGCCGCTGTTTCGTTATAACCGACTTCGTTATAACCGGTCTCGACAGACCCACTTATCATTCGAACCATAGCTAGGCCTAATGACGTCCCCGCCCGCGCTCGTCTCCTCCTCTCTCTCAATTTCTTCGAGGAGCTTTGTGACGTATTGCGGAGGCACGGACGCTAGAGTGGGGATTTAGTAAACGCTTTCGTTGCGCGAGTGCCAACCTGTTCGTGTCTGCACACTGTTTTATGAGCTCGCTTCTGGGTGACTTTCTGAGCGCATAAACGCTGAGGACTCCATAGTAGAGGCTGACGACGAGCAGGGTAATCGTGATAAGCGATAATTTTTAACAAGCTAGATGAACGATGACCGTTTGGGAGAGCTTGCAAACCAGTGTGCAGACGACGAACATCCGGTGTCGTCTTTTTTAGTTTACCCTTGTCTCCGGCTTGGTAATTAAAAAATCCAACATGCGAGATGAAAAAAAAAAAAAAAAGGCAAGGCATTACAATTTGGAACAAGTAAAAAAAAAATACAGAAAGGACAAAGTAAGAATGATAAACAGTCGCGATTAAAACGTGAGCTTTTCCCAGTGGTGTGGCGAGAGCATTTTCCCGCGTACCGGAAGTTCCGCAATTCAAAACGGCGGCGCCCACTCTGAAAAGGTCTAAAGAAAGTAGAAATGCACAATCGCCGTTTTTGCTCTTTCTTTAATATTTAATTACTTCTGAGTTGAGCTTTAAAAATATACATAGAACGTCTTACGAAACGACGATCGAGTGCCCGATGTCAGGTGTAGGCAACCTGCAACGCTGTTTGATTTGGGACTATAGTATCTAGTAACTGAAGCAAGAAACATTGCGTATGCCTGGGAGTGGCGGCTGTGCTGTTCAAACGTGAGCTGTTACCAACGTTACTAAACCACTCATTTGGGAAACCCAATCTTGAAACCTGGGCCGCTGGCGCCCACTGAGACCGAGCTAAATACGATAACAGCTCCACCCTTTAGCGACGAGTGGAAACATGAAAGTTGCTTTACATTTATACTGCAAGATGGCCCTGCGAGATGGCGCCACCGGCCCATCTCGCAGGGTTCCGTGACTCGACGAAACCAGTAAGTGCAGCCGTGCAGTTCACGGAGTAGCCGCTGCGGGAGAAATGGCAGCGTTGCGATCGCCATTAGCTCGGTACTGGGATAAGGATCGGCACCACTTTTTGAGAGGAGGCTCTATGGCAGTTTCCCAACTGAGGGGTTTTAGAACGTTGGCTATTACTCCGATGGCGCAGCTTAACCTAGTATCTGAAGCAAGAAATGCTGGGTAGGCCAGGGAGCCGTCACGCGTGACTGTATACGTATCACGGGGGTGTGCTTTTACTGCGAAAAAAGTATCAGGCTTTTCGCTGCGTCATGCTTCAATATGTGTGCGTTGCGTTCGTATACATACTGCCGTCGGTACGCAATGGGGGGCTTATCGTGTGTTTTTAATTTGAATATAGAGATGCTTGTGTGCTTGCATATTTTTACACGACTCTATTTTGTGTGTATTTCAAGTGCGTGTGCTTAACCCAGTAGGCTTTCGAGCTGTTGGTTTGCACAAGGAGAAAATAAACATTGATTGATTGATCGTTCACCCTTTGCCAAGTTACAACGATAAGGCATAACCGCGGGCTCTCACACTGCTGGCGCTGTTTGGCTGTTGCCGGCTGGCTCTATACGCTTAGAATTAAGTTTTTGCAAGCTGTGCCAAATGAACTACTTACCAGTCCTTATGGCCACTGCCTGTATATATAGAGCCCCAGCAACAGCCCTCACTGTAAACCAGCCGCAAGACACAGACTAGTAACTCACCTCCGTAGGACAGATGAATCTGCTCGGGCTCCACATAGACAACGCCACCCACCGGCGTCTGCACCGCAAGGGCCAAGACAACTACACTGACGGCCTGGACAACAGTAAGTGCCATCTCGCCGAGGTCCGACGCCTTGAAGCGCGAGCGTTACACGTCTTTGCTTCTACGGTACGTGAAGTTTCCGTCCCTTGGAACGCGGCTTTCATGAAACAGAGCGAAGACAAACAAACGATCGAGTCTGCATGATCAACGCACTGAAGAGCAGTCAGAGGAAGTTCCGTTGTCACGGGGGTCTGGATCGTGTGCCCTTGTGCACAAGAGGGAGTTTAGATGTGGGAGAATCGTGATGCCCAACAGGAAACTCAAGAGGCTGCGCGCTTATCGGCTTTTCAGCGATATTTTCCCTTCCCTCTTTCGTGGTTTCTCTATTATCGCCTATCGCGTCGGCATCGCGCGACCGCTATGCATGCTCTTGCAGAGGCAGCGGTGCATGGGACAAAACGTCTTGTTTGCGGGCTTTCGTTGCGCATCGTTCAGGTATAGACCCGATACCGTCCTTGTTTAATCGCAACACTTTCCCAAGGAAAAAATTAAAAAAATTCCGGGCGTTTCAACGAAGGCTTTAAAAAATCGCTAAACATAGAATTGTCGATAAAAAAAAAAATATATATATATATATATCTATTTTCGGGAACGAACTGCCAGCTAGGGAAAATGTCAGGGATTGGAAAAACATGCTATGTAGTTAGATAAATATTTAAACTAAATGTTTGCTAATGAACTTTTTATTTAGTGAAAATTAATGTATGGCTTCCATTAGAAACTTTCTGAGAATAATCGAAGACTACTAAATCAACTCTTTTTTAGAAATATGTCAGGCAGGTACGCCGTGCAACATTTTATGGCCTTAAAAAAGTGCTAAATTTGGACGCGTTGTTAGTTTTCGGTTTCCCATGGGACGCATATTTGCGCCAGCGGTCCTGCTCCATGTATACCCACGACGCGAAACTACCGCGTCTGCCTCCCTCTCATGGAGGGTATGGCGCACGTGCGTTGCGCACCTCAGCCACCTGGGGGCAGGACCGCTGGCGCAAAGGTCTTATTCCGATAGGAAACCGAAATTTAAAAACGCGACCAAAATAAGTGTTCTTCAGAACGCCGAGAAATGATGCGTCTGCCTTAAATCTTCTTAAATTAAGTTGATATAGTGGTTTTTGATGATGCTCAGCAGGTTTCTAATTAAAACAATGCTCATTTTCTAGAATAAAAAAAATGTGATTAGGTAGTTTAGTAATTTATTAAAGGGCAACTCCGCTTCATTTTTGATATTTAGAAAACTATGCAGCCCTCTTCAGTATCATATAGGACGACCCCGTGTCAAATATTACGATCTAATTCCGTCTATATATTTAATAAACTGGCCAGCAAACTTTCAAATGAACCAAGTCGCCGAGATCTGCCAACTCTAGCGTGCGACGTGAGGCGCAATCGTCAGCGCAGTCAATGCGACGGAGTTGGAGCGGCCAACGTTGAGCCACTACGTCAGAGGCATGCTTACGTCATTCTCACGTTTTGTTTGTTTTTGCTTCTCAGAGCGAAATTGAACGATGACGTCATGAGTTTCTCCTCCCGGTGTTGGCTCAACGGGGTCTACGTGATCACCGTAACGCGGATGCGCTAGTTGCGCTGCCTTGCGCGCTTCTCGATCTGCTTCTCCGGTTTCTCCGCTCCCCTTCTCCTCTTTCGTCTTCCCATCTCCCCCTCTCCTCCGGGACATCACCGTCCACGCGCGTGTCCTGTACCTCGCCCCCACGAACGTCACAAGACCACGTGGTTCGACGTGACGTGGCCATGACTCTGACGACACGAGACCAATGTTGCCTGACGCAACCACAGTTTCGGTTTCGGTATCAGCTGATGTTTAAATTAAGATTTCAGAAATAATATTCCACATTTCGCGAATCCGAAGACGTAGAGCTGTTTAGTAGTGCTTTGTGAAATAGAATCACATCTAAGCCTAATTTTTCCGGAATTGAGCGGAGTTTTCCTTTAAGCTAATTAGTATGTTTTCTGGAATTCCTGAAGTCCACCGTGGCTGGCAGCTTGTGCCCAAAAAAGTGCCTAAAAAAAATGAAAAAAAAACAACTTATTTTTAGGGATTTTTTGAAAGCCTTGATTTGGTGATTAGGTCGCGGCCTGACTACTGGTTTATTGTGCTTTGTTTTTCTTCTCTAGATTTGATTTTCAATCACACATGTAATCACGCGTCGAAAGACAGAGACGCCATTGGTCAAATATTTGACGTTTTATTAGCCTCTCGAAAAGTATGGTCCGTGATAGTTTTTTACAATGGTGATGTCGTCGAGGATCTGCCCTTCCTGAAATGGACATAAAGAGACCGTGAACAATTCGGGAGGAACATTGCCGTGTGCGCCCATTCTGACTAGACGAAAATGCGTGAAGACGCTATAGGTAGGAATTGAGACTGATGAAGAACAGCACACAGGTTTAAACTCGGGCTAAAAGCTCGAACAAGAACAATAACAACAACAATGGTAAGTTTGGTTAGAGCACAGGGTCAATGGTCGCAAGGAAAGGCCTCTTCAGTTTCCTTTCAAATCTCGGACAATCTCGGACAGGGTTCATTCATGTCAACGAGTCATTGCACTTCTTGGTCACGGCAAACGCCGCTGTTCTGTTTGCCAGTTTCAACCATAGTATTTATAATCGTTAGAGAAGGCGGCATCGTGCTTTTTTTTCTTTTTTGTTTCTTTTTTTTTTTTTTATAAATGGGGAAAAATTTAACTTGAATATTTCATAGGAGGAGTAGGGAAGCTGGAGCTTCTATGCTTCCCAACTTGATCCAGGCGTTTACTGATTTTGAGATATCGGCCTTTATTTAAGCAGCCCTTGTTGCAAGTTTTGTCGTGGATCACCTAGTATTTCCAGTGAAGAGGGCGCCAATGTCAAATCTTGCCAACGAAATATCCTACGATGCAGGTGAATTGAGTGTATGTTTGTGTTTTGATATTATTTATTTTAATTTTAAGTTCTGAAAAACTGAGAGCACAGCAAGAATTAAGCCCCGAATTTCGGGGAACTAAGAACTAGCAAATATATACTTCGATAAACATAAAATTGTTAAAAAAAGGGGAAAAAAACAACAACGAACAAACGCGGAACCCCATAGATATAACCCATATCTGTCGACAGCGTAAAATGCCTCCGCTACAGAAAAGGCTGCAGCGGAGAAAGAACACGTTGTCGACAGGTAGGCGCCATGTAACCTCGCGACCGAGTCCATAGCTGGAAGAAGTGTAGGGCGCTTGATTTCGCCACGCATAGTTGACGTCTTATAAAAGCAACGGCAACTATCACAAAAAAACGAGAAAAAAAAAACATTTCTACTATTTAATGCGTATATGGGCTCATTCGGAACGCAAGTTCATCCGCTTCTTTTGCATGGGGTTGTGGTGACGTCAAAAGGCCAAGCTCTGATTGGATCCTTCAGTCAGAGCCAATCAGAGCTCGGCGTCTTTCTGACGTCACCACAACCCCCGCAAAAGAAGCAGACGAACTTGTTCTCCGCACAGCAGACGCTACGATCCGATGGAGCCAACCAACCAGCGCGAAAAGTTCATCGTCATGGCGAGTGTGTGGTACGGACCTGTCCCGTTGACTTATCCCTCACCTTCTCTGCTGAGAATTGCTTGAGGTTAAGATGCGTCCTGTTGTGCACCGTCATCACGGTGTAGCCGTAGTCTTTGTATCGCACTGCGCTCCAATTGGCCGGATTGGTCTTGAAGGGATCCAGCCGCTCCTGGCAACCCTGCACTCGCACGCGGAACGGTTTAAACACCATATGAACAAACCGAACCCGAAAGCTCACATTTAAAGACCTAAACACTAGCGATGGGGCTGAGCGGACTACGTCAGTGGAAAAGGGAGTGAAAGAGGCAGAAAGAAAAATGTGGGAGATAAGAATGCAGGAAAAATGAGCTCTACCCAAGTGATGATTAGAAGATTGGTGGAAATTATCTAGGGAAAATTGAATGATGCACACAACTAACTAGCACAGCTGGGGACAGGCGGGACAGAGGGACTCCCACCCGCGTGGCTTCGGCCCAAAGTCTCAACCCTGTCTCCCAGAGGGTCCGGTGCTGGGGTAACGCCGACAAGGTTTGACCAGAGGAAAATTGGCGACTCCCTCGCCGAGAGGGGGGCGGAGGCGGGGGGATGTTTTTTAGGTTTGCTTTGCCCGACCCCTCAAAGGTCATACTGGTGATGGTGATGTCCCACAGTGCCTGGTGATAGTTAGGAGTAGAAAATTGGCTTAAAAGGGCGAGAGGAATTATATGAGCGATAGTGATCCCTGGAGAAGGGGAACAAGGGAGACAAACACAAATCTCCAAACGCAGCTAGGTGACTGGTGCGCGACCGAAAAAATCCGTTTGGTCCATGGTATCGAACCAGGGACCTCTCCATTTCCAGTGGAGCGCTCTACCAACTGAGTTAACCGCGAGTTAGACGTCAGTAGAGCAAACGGGTTTTATCAGCCACCACCAGTCTAACGCCAAGAAGGGTGAACGGCCTGCATTTTTAAGGTTATGATGTTAATGCAATTAATGCAAAGGTGCGAGTTGGACGGAATAAGCGATAAGTCCTGGAGAAGAACAAGGGGGATAAAGGACAAATAGAAATCTCCAAATTCTACTAACGTCTACCACCTGGTTGTCGGTAGAGCGCTTCATTGGAAATGGAGAGGGCCCCGATTCGAAACCAGGCGGATTTTTTCAGCGCGCACCGCTTACCTATAGCTGTGTTTGGAAACTTTGTTTGTCCTTAGTCCCCCTTGTCACCCTTCTCCGGGGATTATTATTCCTTATTCTGCCCAGCTCGCTTGCACCATAAATGCATTAACAGGAATCGTATGTTTGTCTTTTTGGACTTAGGCTAGGTGGGCGCAAGCTTCCGCCCGTTAGAAAGGGTATAGCCATAAAGGCTGTGTTCCAAATCCTACCCAAATGGATCCGAGTCACACCGGCGGGTCATGTCACGTGACAACACAGATTGAAAAGCGCTGAACGCGAGTAAGTTTTGGAACGCCAAGGTACCAAACCTGGAGTAAGATCAAGTAAATTTTGGAACACGGCCTAACATTCATCCATTCATTCACGGGGGATTCAAACGCTACGTCACCGTTTGTTGCCCAAAGCGTTCTCGGAGTATCGAAGCTCCCTATTTTTCTCTAAGCTAAACGATGGCTTCAAAATGTCCAACTTGGTAGAAAGTATACTGTCGAGACCGGTTATAAGGAATTCGTTTATAACGAAATAGCGGCTACAGGGAAGCGATCACGATTTCCCATTCCCTTTCGCACTTCGTTATAACCGAAGTCGGTTACAACGAAATAGCGGATATAGCGAAGTGATTTCCGATTCCCGTTACTTCGTTGTAACCGGTCTTGACACTCGTGACTAGTAAGCAATCGAACCGGCGGTCGTCACCAGTTGCTCAGTGCTCCTGCGTAAACGCTTTATATTGACTTCCAGTTTTATATTTTGTTATAAACGTTTTATATTTTGTCACTTCCAGTATGGGCGATATAAGCGTAACCGTAACCCATTCTCGTTTTGCCTCCCATCTATATTTTTAATATTTTCAGGTTGAAATGCGTGATTATATTTTCGTCGCCCATACCGGATATGCCTACCAGGTGGCTGGAGACCATAGTAAACGAAAAATGTATATATGTTTTACTTTATGTTTTCTCCCGGTTTCAAAATGGCCGACGTCAGCCAATCAGCAAGCTTGATTGTCGAGTTCAAGCTGACGTTATGAAAATGCGGCACTCTGGGAACATTCAGTGACTCTAATGTTAGCCATGTACAAGCACCCGTCCGAAACCTAACTATTATAGAGGTATAGCAAAACCATTATACTCATTGTAACAAAAAGAAGAAAAAAAGAGTAAGAGCTACGGGGCGAGAAATGTCAACCTTGTGCACTGCTTCAAATGGAAACTCAGCGAGCAACTAGCGGCGCTATTCGCCTCGAGATCGAACCGTGTCGCCACCGTGCGGCCGAAGTTGGAAACGCGCGAAAGCGGGGATACCGCCGTGCGTCGTCTGCTACGGGCGCACGCTCAGAGCATGGATCTCGACGACGCAAGCCCCGTTTCAGGCTGAGCTTGACATTCCTTATTAAATGTTTTATATTTTTGTTGCCCTTCCTTCTTACTAAAGGTTTTATTTTATCGTTTCCCATGCGTAGAAATTCAGCAAAGCGATTATTATTAAGTCGGAAGCTTCCATAATCTTAGTGCGTTGGTTTATATACAATCGCTGCAGGGTCCCACGTATTTTTGTTATCTCGCACAAACCGTGGCTTCCATAAAGCATTGAATGTTGAGTGGGTCTGTGGTTTGATTAGAACATTAGCCCGACTGATCGATATCCTTTAATGGACTAATCAATCAATAAATCCGTATGTTGATTTTTCGCCGGTAATATTGCGTAAAAGGCGTTAAAACTACACATTTTTTTTCTGGTTTTACTATGTCATAAATGGCATATTGCATTCCCATTCTAAACTTCACGTTGTGACTCCTACAGAAATGTGAACACGGGAGACTTTTTAGAGTGAAGTATTTTTTTAAAGTTATTATTTAAACGGTATTATCACACTCGGTGAAATGAGAAGCACGCTGAAGTGGTTTACCGTGCAAGCCTGTGTCACAAAAGAAATAAAGACGTCAAAAATATTAAAGCAGGCATTTTTTACTCCTTGCTGACTTTCTCCAGCACAAGACTCCAATTAACCGGCAGAAAAAAAAATTGCAATTAATGCATTTCTTGAATAATGTGAAAGTTAATCGATGAACTGCCCAGTCCCGATATACGTTAGGTGAGGGCGGAGGGAGATCGGAACGTCTCGTGAAGGTCGCTAGCCTTCCTCTGTAAAAGAGTATCACTGCGGCCGATGCTGTCTCTGTCGTGGTGCGCGTCGTTTGTTGGGGTTGCAGAGTCTACTGTGTTTGAATACAAGATTATTTAGCAAGAAATTTATAGCATTAGCCTCTTCACGTTTGCGGCCCTCACCGAGAACATTGAAGCGGGTGAACCCACACTACCGAGAAAAACATTTAATAACAGGAACATTGCTGCGTTGCTCGGTTACACTCGTTTATTACAGTCAAGGTTTCAGTTTCAGTTGTCCTGCCAACCGTGCAGTTTGCAGGGGGGCTATGTTCGACAAATATTTCGTTTCTCTTAAAAAGAAACGTAAGTGACAGAAGTGACAATATCACGTCTGATTGGTTAGAAGCTCAAAAGACGAAAGAGGGAAGTTTCGTCATTTGAGCCTCTAACCAATCAGACGCGATATCGTCACTTCTGTTCTTTAAGTTTCTTTTTAGGAGAAACGAAACATTTGTCGAACATAGCCCCCAGATCTTAACTAGAAGAGACACACCCTCCTCATCGCAACACAGTATATTTGTTCAGACTCCAAAAAACTTACCCACACTATGGCACAGTAAAAGAGCAGAGGAACTCAATAGCATGATAATTTCCAATACAGCGCTAACTTAACTTCATTCTAAATATTTATATTACTGCAAAAGCTAGAAGTTAAAAAACAGCATGGAAGCTGCGATTTCACGGCCCACAGTACCAGTATTATGTTATCTGAGTTAGAATTTATTGGTGTTTTTAATTCCCACTTTAATGAATCGATACACACATTTTAAAAGAAACAAATATTTAACACAAATATTCCAGTTCAGCCGGAGACAGGCATCAGTCGTGGTGATCTATGCTTTCCAACGTCTGCCTAGAGCAGAAGACGCACCCACAGAAGCGATTATATAAATTTAGGCCGCACGCTGGCAACACGATTTGATCTTCACTGAAGCACCGAACAGTACCGCATCCTTTTCCGCTAGAATTGTTTTACCACCGATAGTATGCGACAAAACAAACGCAAGAATCTACGCCGTCTCGCGCGCGAACGTGGAAAGCCTATGGGCGGCCGTTCTCCTATCCCCGCTTTGATGATGATGATAGCGCGACCGTAGCGCCACCTCTAGGTCGATCTCGAGGCCAATAGCAGTGAGCTTCACTCACTGAACCAATGGAGGGTTGTATAGTTTCATCGGCGCTCTTTACACGCTTAGTTTCCGTTTCAAGTTCCCTTCACTGGCTCGGCATCTGGGTAAGAGAAGACAAGGTCAGCGATGGCGGCTGTTTTCTGAAGCGTATGCAAAGCGTCTATTAGCGCCGAGGTGTTTCAGTGGCGCCCTCTTATGGTTTCCATTCGTGACCTCACGACTGGGATTTGCCTCGCCGTGACGTCACCAGTTGTTATCCTGGCTCCTTACCATCAGGTGTGACGACGAGTTCGATGCTGTGTTTAAAAAGCACAGTGGAAGCTAGGAGCCATCGCAATCCGAAACTAACACCGTCAAAGTTGACAATGTGACAGTGCTCATATGCCCATGGTTTGACCAATCGTGGAAAACTGACCGGAGCGACGCTTTTGGTCGCGCACATCCCTAATAGGGAGTATTCACTGGCGGTCATAGCTGTGCGCGCGACTGCTGAGCGCGTGCTGATGGCGAGCTTCCACAGTTCTTCCGCAACGTGCATTCCACACCAGAAAAATTGCCGGTCTTAGCAGTCTATTAATGCTATAGCTCGTTCTGAGCACCCACTCTAAAGAGCGCCCGCAAATATAGACAATTGCAAGCATGGCGCCACAAGTGGTGCCCGATGCGTGCAAGCGCGTGCAACGCGCGGGTGAACGCAGCTTTGGCAAGCTCGTAATCGCACGGGCGTGCCTGCTCGAGCAGAGACATGGCGGCGGCCAGTCGCCCAGCTTGCAATCGTCTATAGCGTCCAGTGAATACTCGATACTCGACGCTCTAACACACCCGCATACACCCAATTCGTAATTTGGGTATCAAGATACTCCATCTCACAAACATCTGCGGTGCAAACAAAGGCATGGGCACGAGCGCGTGCCTTTGAAAAGTGCCTCCTATGCAAATAAGAGTCTTCACACAAACAAAAGCCTTCTGCTGAGCTAAGCTCACGCGCCTGTGCCATAGTTAAAAAAAAAATGGTGTGTGATTGTTTATACAGCCGGAAGTTAGTCTGCCGCAGCTCTGGTGTCTCAGCTGTAGATGAGCAATTTGGCCAGTGCGGTACGACCGCATGCCGGTACGAAGATGCCGGTACGGTGTCAGTACGACCGCATGCCGGTACGATGCTCATCCAGATCGAAACGGGCAGGGGTGGGGGTTGAACCGAGGATTGTCTTTACTGCAGACATTTGTGGGATGGAGTGTATGTTTCAGGTTTTATAAGGACGTGCCTCGTCCTTTTTTTCACCAAAAAGATCGTAAATTTAGTTTTAGAGTTTTGAAGATTAGTCTGAAGGATATACAGTAATATCTTAGAGTAGTAATTAATTAACTACCAAAAAAGCACCGAAAATTCCAGCTCGACATTTTGGTGGCGAGAAAGGTGGCAGTCATTTGCGCTGTTTGATCTACTATATAATCATCCGAACATTTTTTAAAACTTTAGTGTGTCTTGGCAAAGGCGACGAAGTGCACCTGTCGTTTTTGTACATCGCTCTGCGTGGTCGCGCGGTTTGGGAAATGCTCCCCAAAGGCGCTCTGTACATACCGAGGAAACACGTGGGCGACATCAGCACATGTTCATCAACAGAGAGGAAACAAAACATTCGGCGGTGTACAGGACGTATATCTTGAGCAATATTTTGATGGTCACGACTTTGTTGCCTAACGTTATTTCTAAAATAACTATCCATTCTGAAGCAGGTGTTCTGTAAAGTGCGGAAAGGGTTCTACATAGCACTGAATGTACGCTGTGTACGGAGAAGATAGGTTGAAAGAGAAACGCTCGTATTAGAATTTGTTCGCTTTTTAGGTCATCTTCCCCTTAATTTTATTATCACTGTAATGATTCTGACGATAAACATTCTACATTACACTGTACACAACTGTTAGTATGTATGGTTTTGGTAGAATATCTGCCCACATCTTGGATTTCTATAGCTGGACGCGGGGAAAGAAAGACGCCGACACTCAATTCGCTGAACAAGGGACAGGCGGCTACTCCCAATTTGTTTTCACGCGAGAAATAAAGGTCGAGCCCAGCATTCAGAACTTAGGCTGCGAATGACATAACGCGAAAGCACGGTCCCAGTGACCCTGAACACGATGACATCATAGAACTTGAAGGAACGGAGCCTATCAGCCTAGGGGGCGCTATGTGGCACGTTTTGGACTCCCAGGAGACTAGGGAGAAGGAAGTGACGTCAACAACGCTCTTTAAATGTTGATTGCTGGAGTCGCTGATGACGCGTTGCGTGGTGCTGCTAAGATACGTTCATTCACACCTACGTCACTTCCTTCTTCCTAGTCTCCTGGGAGTCCAAAACGTGCAACATAGCGTTCTAACTCGGCAGGCGAAGAAAGCTACGGATCTAGCGAGCCAATCAGAGGGTTGGAGCGAGGCACGTGACCGCTGGAGTCCACCCCTTTTCTGGTGAGCTGTCACGCGGTTCTCCCCTTAGCTTCCGTCGTCTGCCAAGTTATGCCGAAACGGTAAAGGTAATAACTTCACGCTTTGCATCTATACACCCACACAGCCAAGTTTATAACTGAACAGGAAAGCTTACCGCTGATCCAGTTATGATATGAACCGGCGCTCCTGGATTTGTGTAGGGCTTATCGTAGCTTCCGTTGTACACCTGAATGAATTGAAAAACATTTTTTTTTTGTGTGCTCAGGGTTTTTTTATGGAACGTTTCGAGCAATCTGCAAGTTTTTTATGCGTGTGTGTGTGACGAATATGAGAGACTACGAGAGAAATGCATTGAAGCGCGAATAGCCTTGCCTTGCGGTCGTAGACAGGCCAGAGCCTTTCGTAGGAGTGCTCGTGGGCCCAGAACTCGAGATCGACTCCGTACTTGTAGAAGAGGTCTTCCAGCCCGAACAGGTGAACGAGAGGGATGCCCTTGCGGATCTGCGTTTGAGAAGGGTGAGGCACGGGTGTTATGACGTCCCTCAAGGATTCCCCTGGAATGTCCTTCGCCCCACAAACTAGAAGCGGTTTTTGAAAAGAAAAAGAGAAAGCGCGGAAGCTCCTTAATAGACACATTGTCTCACTACATTAGATACTGTTGCCCAGGAACGTCTAGTGGTGGTCAGATTTTCACCAGGGCTCCAGTCTTCGGCAAGAGCTAAGGTGCGACTCCAGCAGGATGGTTATTGGTATGTCTTGAAATTTGACAGCGCAGCCACTTCACCTCTTGTAGTAGGTAGAGTTGTTTAGAAAATTGCATTTACAACAGTGGTGTCATGCCCATAACAAAACCAAAACAACGCGCTAAGACCGATCCCCACATGGCAGTGGAACGCTGATGTACCACACTGTTGACGTTTCGTCGGCTACTTATCGTCTGCTATGAAGAACCGTTTTGACGGTGCGATACAAAATGAGGTGAACACTCTTGTCATCATGCTCTTAGCGTAAAGTCAGCGCTTGATGTGTGTGAACAAGCCTTTCATACTAACGATGCTCTCGCTGAAAGTGCAGTCGTCTCGATCGTCGTTGCTGCAGTACATGGGCCGGTGACCCATGGTTATTATCCATGGCCTCTTGGCTCTGTTCTCGGGCTTCGTCGCCTCCTGGGGGAAGAAAGGCAATCACAACGGGGCAGGAGACCAGCAAGACCACATAATACTTTTAAAGGGGAGACATTTTTTTAAATGGCTTCGTACGTTTAATTGAGAATTAATTTTCTTACTTCGGTACCACTAAAAAGATGATCTGGAAAAATAAAAAAAATAATAAAAATGTTACTTTTGTTTTATTATATAAATTGAATATTTTTCCAACTTAGCGGAAATGCAAATGCAGTTGATCAAGCTGTATAACCTTTCCTAAATTATCTAAAAATATTGTTTAGTACAATTTGACTGCTTATTTTTGTCCTTTTGCTGTCGATGATCGACCCTGTTCGGGCTGTAGCTACTATTTCGGTTTGTGGTAGGGTGACCAACTTCCTGCCGGTGGAATGCGGGACACCCTGACCGCGGGAAGGGGGGGGGGGGGGGGGGGGGAGTAAGAGGAGGACGGTATTTTCACGACTCAAGAAATAAGTATTAAGGGAAATTCACCAACGCGCACCTTCCGAAATCCTGTGCTGTCCGAAAGAATATTATACACCTGAAAATTGTACGCGGCGATTAAACTAAAATAAGTTTCACTCACACTGATATACTTTTGTTTATTTGTAATGGTAAATATTTTATTAAAAGTATCTAAGTTGAAAACAAAAAGCTCGACTGCACCACACCCCAATGCATCGAAGGAAATAAGAAACAGTAAATATGTTTCGTCTTATTGTTTCCTGTCGATACTTACTCTTATATTAACATGCTCCTACACAAAAATAAAACCTTATGTTGTTGTTTTTTTGACCGTTGTGAGCTGCAGGTTTTTTACCTTGTGTGGCTGTCTTCAATTAAAGAAAGCTTTCCACAACAACCCTTTTGCATGATACAGTATGATTTGCAACTAATTACAATAGTTTACTTTTCAGCTTTTGGCGAGCAATTTTCGCTCGCAATATTTTGCCATCAAGGGGAGAGGTGCTGCAAGAACGACGGTTGCTTCGCGCAGTGCTAGGCAAGAAAATGACATACCATCGAGATTCACACATTTATCAGCGACCTCCGCGGTTCCCCGTTGCGCGTTGTTCGGAAGCGCCATAATTTGCGCAGTGAATGTTACGACAATGTGAAATGCGGGACATTTTGAAGATTTGGGAATTTCTCGCGGGACGCGGGACACGAGCCCTCAATGCGGGACAGTCCCGCGAGTCGCGGGACGGGTGGTCACCCTAGTTTGTCGTGTAGGCTAATGTTGGATCTTGCGCCAGTATGGTGAGACATCATCATTCTCATCGCCATCTTACTTTGAGATCTTCCTCGAGCCACTTGAACTGGTTTGCGATCTGTGTGATCCCGTATTCGACGAAAAAGTAGAACTCAGTGGATAGGCCGATGATATGAGCGGGCCCCATGTCGAAGCTGTAAGAAAGAAACAGAAACAGCCAGCTCGTATAGTCCTACTTCGATCTTTTTTAAAACACAAGCACGTAGGAACGCACGTACACTCAACAAACACAAAACCTACTTTGGGTTAGGTTGCTTTTTTCCGAACAAATTTATAACCAAATTTATTGCACGCACACTGCGCCCCGTCGAGACGAATACGCGTGCGTGAAACAAACTTCGCGCTTGGTCAGGTGAATTCGTCTACTTTCAAAATCAAGTAACCCGTTTCTAGGAGAGGCGAGAAACCTGGGGGACATATTCGATCGACGCTGCAATCTCGAATGCCTCGGCACACGTGCCGCGGTTTACGAAAATTGGATCGCTCGTATATATAAGGCTGATCAACGGGCCCACCTCTCGCTGACAGAGTAACCTCACAAAGTTTAGAAAATGTTTCGAGAATTCTTCATATACATGCATGGTGACTATCTGTTGAATTTTTTTTTTGTCTATTTTTACAGCGCGAAAAGGTCAACGTGCTAGCGATCGAGGTTAAACAAATTTCGCGTATAGGCCGCAGGGCAAGACAGGACAGCTTGATTTATGCTTACAGGTTGATACATTGCTCATGAATATAAAACAAGTCAAGCTTATACTTTTTGCTTGAGCCCGAAGCACGGAGACCCGCGGACACAGCGCAAGGTCAGTGCCCCGCACTGGTCTCCTGGTTTCGGATTGACTTCGTTTGTTTCCCTTAAAAAATAGCTGTGTCATAGCTACCTGTTGTGTCGTGGCACTACAATCTAGTATTTAACGTGGATAAACAATTACTTCTAACTGTCTTTGTTAATCTTGCCGACCGAATTTGCCATTCTTTCAAACCAGACAATTTGAGTTCCAATGCAAGTATGCTCGTGGTCACAACAAACTGCGTGCACACTGTCTCCGTTACGGGTAGCCGTGGCTCAAGCCTGTCGCAGTAGCCATCACCATGCTCCTTCACATGCGTCGAAGGGTTCTTTTGTCGAGTCCTGCGTGGTACCTATTCGAAAGCTCATGGATGGTGCGAGGAATATTTTTTGGTTAGGAGTGTAATATGCTCTGGCTATACTCGACGACTCTCCACACAATTGTGTCCGCGATGTAAAACGCGTGCCCGCAGTAATCATTAAAGAAAAAAGAAAAGAAACTACACACGCACAGGAACGCGAGAGAGACCAAGTACCTAAAGAAGTGGTTGTTTATATTGCCGCTCTTGTCCACCATGCTGAACCGATTGACGTAGTTGGAGAAGTTGCTGGAAAATAAAGAAAGCGATTAAGTATATTCCAGTCTTGGCTTTCAGAGTGTCATCCCGCGAAAAGACACTTCGACAGCTTGTTTGTGCACACGATTCGTTTGTACTGGGACGCACTTACTAGCGGTTCTCGTGGTTGCCGACGCAGGTCATGTATGGAACGTACGCGGCCACGGGCTCGATCTGACGCATGAATTCGTCCCCAACACGAGCGTTGTCCTGCGGAGAAACGAAATATTATCGCAGGTTTGCCCCGTGACTGAATTTAGCATCCCACAAATATCCCCCAGCCTCGAACAATTTACTTCGTATCTTAATCACATAAGGTGCGAGGTAGATTACAAAAATAGTGTATTAAGGTAGAGTCAGTGACAGGGTGAGAGCAGCAGGGAGGTCCTTCAGTGCCAGCCTCCAGCGCGAGCTTCCTACCTTCGATAACGCATCGGCGTCTTGCGAGTCTCGAGCGTGCAAGTGCAGCCAAAGCACGGTGGAAGGCAACAAGCGCGTGCAGGAGGCCGGGCATCTGAAAGACAAACCCTTCTGTTCTTATCCTGTCAGCGACCATGGTCTTTGTGGTTTAGATATGCATGTGCCCTCAATGGTGTACGCGTACCCGTGTGGTCGGGTCAACGTTTATCGTGAGACTGTTTGAGAGGGTATCTTAGTGTTTGCGTTGTCTAGACTTAACATCGAGGAAAACGTGGGTCTCGAGTGTTTTTGCTAAGCGGGAGGGATATCAGTAAAAAGGATAATAAAAGGGAGATAAAACCCTGGGCAATCTTTTTTATCATGCTAGAAACAATAAGTTCATCGTGTTTGTACTCACAGAGTCCATATCGTAGGCGAAGTCACCTGAAACAAGAGCGTATTTATTAGTTCATGATATGGTTTAAGAGTACCAGCATTTGACGTATCGCGATCACTAGAGTACTGTAGTAATATGGGCCACGCAGCGGTATGGCCGTGAGTGGGTATGCTCCCATGTACAAAACAAAAATTGGGTCTTGCTACAGGCATTCGTGTAATCAAAGCTGCTCGATGAAAAACGCCAGGATAGCAGCAGTACTGCAACTTTGATATAGTATTTCAAGGCATACCTACTTCTCACAATGTATATAAAAAAGTAAGTTATAGCAGAGGAACCAAGTCAAATTTTTTAATTACTTAGCAATTTGGTCGCATGTATGACGCTTTTCACACTTTGTTGAAACCTACGTTTGTCTGCGTTTGGAAAAAAGAGCCTCGTACCAACTCTCCTAAAAAAAAAAAAAATAGCGAATGCGCTATTTTTTACGTTACAGGCATTCCTTCGATTTCTTTTTTAAATTTTATTTTTGTGAGCACAGCCTCCTTTACAGCTCGCATGTCGCAAGAGAACAGACCCCAGACAATCATGCATGTTACTTTCATCCAATGTGGATCCGGATAATGTCCCATCCAAAATATTTCTTACCCACGGGATATCTTCGAATCTATCATTTCTGTCTGATGGACATTCTCAAAATTCGTCTATCGGCGGACGGTGGACGTCTATAAAATGTTCAAAGGACTTGCTCACTGTCCCCAGATGTCCAAAAAATGTCCAGTTTTTGTTTGGTGGCTATCCTCAGGATACGACTATTTCCTTGGGGGAGGACGTCTACAATACGTCAGGATGACTCCCTTATAGTTTCGACAGGTCTATATTGCTCGAGAAAAATAAACCGGCGGGCCTTGTCAGTTGCGCCCACTATAAAGCAACATGGACTTTGTTTTCCACTTGATCAAGACCCGCCGACTCACCCACGTGGAGCACAGCATCGATGGTTCCTTTCTGGGCTTCCTCCTGGAGGAAAGGAAGGGACTGGGCGTTCACGTTGCCCATGTCTCCGAACACGGCCAGTCGCGGGCTCCAGTGCTGACCGCTCCTCATGGCTCGGAAGAAAAACAGGGAGCTCCAGCCCATGTTGGAACCACAGTGGTACCCTGTGTGCGGACGCCACAGTTCGTTGGGCAGGAGAGACGTTGCTCGATGCGTACGGCGTCGGCAGACATAAATATTAACTGCATTGTAGTATGTTATGGGGAACGCTTAATATGTCCAGGTACTTTGATTTTCCCGCAATTGAACCTGCCTGATTTAATTATAACTGGTTTTATCACATATACGCAAAATCTGACCGTGCGCTATAGGGAATATTCACGGGACGCCATATTGTTGGACGTTGTTTACAGCGTACGCCCAAAACTATCACCCATTTATTGTCTTCTAAGAACCATGATTCTGAATGCGTGGAATGGACGTTGAACGCGCATCCTCTTGCATTCCCCGTAGTCAGTGAAGCCAAAGCTACTGGTTTACCCGTGAGCTCGTGGACCTCGAGCGCCGATCAAAGCTGCTGCTCGCGCTGTACTCGCCTCTTCTGAAATGCCAGAAAAGGTTGTCCTCGAGCATCTTTTTGAGCATGTTCTACGAGCAACGTCCACCAAGATGGCGTCCCGTAAATACAGCCTATACACTCGTTCTTGCTGAGAATTCGCTAATGTGAAATGTGTGCTGCAGAAGCGACGCGCTCAGAAGCAAGGTCACCAGAATGGCCGCTGATGTGACGTCAGTGCAAGCCATGTATTTTACCACAGAGCTCTTGGAGAAGCAAACGCTGTGGTCTACGGAAGGCGACCGTCGCACGAAGAGGTCAAAGATATGTCTAGACCTAGAAATGAATTCTACGGTGTGGCGCTGCTGCATGACGTTTCACTGACGTCACACGCGCGTGATACTCGTTGAGAACGAAGTTCGCGGACTTACTGTACAGGGAGCCGGGTTGGAGGCCGTTCAAGGTAACCCGGTGTATGAAGATGACTCGGCGTTCGGTCCCGCCGTCCTGGAACTTGGTGCTGTTGCCCAGTGCCCTCTGGTCAAGACCCGCTTGTCCAAACTCTACCACTGATTCGTCAGTCGCGTTGAAAGTGGTCCACGTGACGATCATTTGGGTCGGGTCCACTGAGCACAAAGAATACCAATAATCGTTGACCAGTGATCTTTTATATTTTTTTATAGTAATGTTATAACCTTTGAAGTCGGGTTTTAAGACACTTGTATGCTTCAATGATTCTGTGCAGCGCTGTGGGAGGCACGTGGACGAGCGTGGAAATTTAGTAAACGTTTTCGTTGTGCAAGTGTTCGAAATTCTAACAAACACAGCAATGTGCAAAGCAGATGGCGTAGCCAAGGATTCTACAGGAGGCGCTCAGGGGGCTGGATATCGATGACTTGGGTGCGGAGGGGCGGGGGGGGGGGGGGGGGGGGTTCGAAATGCATGTGCATATTATAGGGTTGAAGGTAAAGGTTCGCTCTGGACAAAAATAGCAAACTCTAACCAAGTTTATTAAGTAGCAGTATAGCCGACGTTTCGGGACCGATTCGGTCACTTACTCACGGGTCAGTGCCGGTGGGGACACGCGCGTCGCTATTTGCACGCGCAGATATATGATCTTTGCAAACGTCACGCAGCCCTGAGACATAATCGCTGGGCATAGTGCCCGAGGTGCGGTTTACATTTCCATTTGTTCGTTGGATAAACCAGGACTCGACGAAGCACCGATTTCACCAGTGCCTCTCCAAAGCCAGTACGACGCTCCTTTCGAAGCTTATGTGGCAAGTTTCTTCCGCATGTTCTGCTAGGGCACTAGCTTCCACATCTTTCTTTAGACATCGTCTGTCGCGTGAGCCTCCCTGAGAAGGTTTTTACTCTCTTTAATATATGAAGGGAGCAATCCCCCCACGGTATGCGGTTGACGACACCTTGAGCCTTTTCTTTAAAGGGGTCGATCCTTCGGGATGGGGAGACGGTGTCGGTTAGCGGCCGAGTACGCGGGAAAGGGCTTCGCTGGTGCGGCTGATGTAGGGCGCGCAGACGCGATCGGAAGGGGGTGTGCTGCGCTTTATGGGTAGACTCCTTGACTTTTCGAGCATCTGAAGAATAAACGTTTGAGTTAGCCATACTTGCGGAGATCCGACTTTACAACCTCGATTTCCTCTTGCACACTCTTCTTTGAGGAGCATATGGCGAAAGCGCGACTAAAGAGTGCAGTAGCCACCGGCACTTTATGACACCGGAGATGGTGGGAATCAAACCCTATGTAGTGTGTGTTGGCCTTCTGTAAACAGAGAAGCTCAGTTTGGAGACGCTTCTGGTCACCAGCTTATCCGGGAAGGGAAGGGAACCTTTGTTCTCGCTTTCGAACGTGAATTGTGTAGTCGCATCCACAGAATTTAAGTACTTCCAAAGACGATCCACCTCGCTACTCTTGACGACACAAAGCAGTCGTCAACGTAACACAGGAATGTTCTGGGTTTTGGTTTGAAAGAGTCGAGAGTCTTGCGTTCGATGGCCTTCACAGTGAGGTTTGCCATTGTCACAGATACGGCTGCCCCCATGGTCGCGCCGCTGTAGTGTCTGTAGTGCTTCCCGCCAAATGAAAAGTATGTGCCATCCAAGCAGAGTTCTAGCAGCCGGCAGATCTCATCCGCCCGTCCTCTCCGGCAGTTTTTGCACCTGCCGAGAGAGCACTTTTTGCAACGGACACGGCCAAGGGAACTGGATGCTGGTGAACAATGACACCATGTCGACAGAGACGAGGCTCTCATCGTCACATAGCTCTAGGTCAAGAAGAAGTGACCGGAATTTTGCATATACGTTGGAGTCCTTCCCGTGAGAGGTGAGAGGAGCCTTTGAAGGTAGTTAGAAGCGGCGCGTAGATCTGAAGTCGTGAAGTCCACGATATGTCGAAGAGGTACCCGGCCTTGTTTATCTCGGACAGTGTTGGCCGTTGGGTAAAGTATATCCACAAAGTACTTTAAGTACAAAGTAAACGAGAGGTGATGTACTCTTAGGCGTAGACTTTGGGGGGGAGGAGGCATCGGGGCTCGTGCCCCCCCCCCCCCCCTCCCCTTGGTGAGATCCGGGGGGGGGGGGGGGGGGGGGGGGCAGAGCCCCGGGCCCGGGCCATCATCCTTACCGAGACGCTGTTTACGTGCCATGCAACGAGCTTCTAGTAGTGGCATGTAAACAAAATAACGCCCACGTTGCCTTTATTGACAAAATACATGGGTAATGGAATCCCGGCGTGCTTTCGTTAGCTTCAATCTCCAGTTCTGGCGAAAAGATAACGCGCACCCCCCCACCTCTCCCCGGAGAACTTCGAAGACTGCCTCCCCCCCCCCCCCCTTCCCCGGGAAAATGGAAAGTCTACGCCGCTGGACGTACTTCAAGTAAAGTAGTAAGTGCACTGGATGCAATGTACCTGAAGTAAAGTACTATAAATAAAATGTGCTTTCAAAGTAAAATACAAGTACTTTTTAACACGATATTTCATTATGCTCCTTCATTCCCCTACGTAGTTATTCTTTTTAAATGGTAGACATTGACCGGGCATAATATATATAATACATCGGTGTGGGCAAATAGCAAAGCGTCTCCCCACCGACACTCACCCGTGAGCAAAAGACCGAATAGGTCCCGAAAAGAGCTTGCAATTTCTGTCTGATATTATAGGGTCGGCTGGATTTCGATGGGGTGGGGCACCGTGGGGGGGGGGCGAAAAGTTTATCCACACCTTTTAGAAAAGAAGGCCGTAACGCTTCCAGTGGTTACGTCACAATGTCGGAGAAGGAAGGCGATGGCGCAACTACGTGAGAAACTATCTGGTATCAACGGGAAAAACAGTTTCTTCTTGAGCGGCGCGGTGGTGTTCGTGCGCGTTTATCCGACGTTAACATATTTTTTTAAAAGCGCAGTCTCGTACAATTTATTATATATTTAATATAAACGTAATATACAACCCGTTACCAAGGTTGAAAGTACCGATTTTATTTTTATGATTATCCCCGTAACCGCGGGACTACGTGCAGTCCCTCAGTTCCCCTGACTTTTCGAATGAACCGGCTTCGATGTGACATCTTCTTCCCTCATACGGGCTCCGATTCTGGTAAATTTACGTTGTGTGTGAGCTGCTGGCTGTCTGAAAATGAACGCTGAGACATTTTAAAAGGAAAAAGAACCGAAAAAGAAAAAAAAAAAATCCAGGCATCGCCGCAGGGAACGCACACGAACAAGAGAAGGGTCGGCCTTTCGTCCCACGCTGCTGCCGTTGCTCTCGTGTGTCGTTCTTTTAATTATTCTTTCCTTCTTCCCGTCCTTTTTCTGTCGTCGCCGCATTCTCGAATAGATTTTTTTTGTGTGTGTGTGTGTGTGTGTGCTCGCTTGATACTACGGCATTTACGTGGATTCGTAGAACAAGTCCTGCTACGGTTTGAGTCGCGTGTGTACCAACTAGGCAACGATGACACTGGTCGATTGTCGATGGGCCTGTCTCTAAAAACAGAGAGAGGCTTCTAGGAGTTCATGTTCAACCGTTTTCGTGACAGATATTGTGGGACGTATGGAGACGATCGGCAGGTGAGAAACAACTTATTTACGGGCTTTCTTGGTCATTTAGGACGCGAGTAACGTGCTGCACTCGTTTTTATTTTTTTTTTATCTCGCGATAGATTGGAATCTTGTTTTTCGTCGCTATCTGTGTGCAGTTGCGTCGACATTTGTAAATATGCGTGATAACATGCTAGTTTTCACAGGAAGGTGAATAACAAGTTTGTGTGATTATTGAAAGTGCGCTGTTTGTGCTTATGTGTGTATTTATACTAATGTTATTTAATTGCCTTTACCGCGTTTATTCTAGAATCTTAACTGTACAAAGGAAATAGTTTTATTGTATACAAAATAAGTTATATTTTGTTCTAAGCCAGTTCGAACCCATAGGGAGAATGAATTAGTTAACTGTATATAGTATGTTTAGTACCCCTGCCACATGGATAAGTTAAGTATATTTTCATTAATGATATGGGATTTTATCAGCTCGCGGTTTTGAGATTATACGAGCGTCGCAAGCTGATTTGTCGACCCCATAATGTCTTTCGATCGAAATTACATTAATTTTGCCATGTGACCGGGGTATCATGCAAGAATTCAATGGCTACACGCGATAACATCGCGTACATGATCGTAAGTAACACTTGTCTAGCCGTGTCCGCGTTGATTACGTCTACCTGATTTTTAACTGTGATCTGTTTTATTGTGTCCAATCATTGCGTGTCTCGCCATTTTGTCGAAGTATTTCTGTATAAAATATGCATTCCTATAGCAATAATTGCGTGACTCTCAATGTTTTCGAGTTAAAACAATCACATTTTTCTATAGACGCCTTATACGCATATCTCGTGCCAATTCGTACCGATTATTTAGCGGTGTAATATTTTGCCCGTGTAATAAAATGTTTACTAGGCCCGTTGCCATGTGCAGCTTTCATTTTAGCTAATAAAACATGCGCATGTGACTAAAAGCGCGTTACGACGGCCGATCCACGCGCGTTGCCTTCGCTTCGACGCGCGCCTCCGATGGCCTTCCTTTGTGACGTCACCAGAAGAGCGCTACGGCCTTCTTTTCTAGGAGATTCTATGAGGTGTTGAGTTTACCCCCTGACAGCGCCATTCGTACAAAGCTACGTTTTTTTTTTTTTTTTTTTTTTTTTTTTTGCGCTTGCCATTTTGGTAACATTTCAGATAATTTATTACCTCATCTTCTTTCGCACCCTTGAACCGTAATAAAAATACCTCAAGTTTCTATAGAGGCAGTGATGTTGGTACAATACAAATCTCAAGGCACCTTTTTCTTGTTAATTGTCAAAATTATGGGCGAATGTTACCTGCTCTGCTGACGACAAAAGTGCGGGGCTTATAAGAACCAGCAAAGCCACACCGCTCGCAAACACGCCGCTGGAGAGTCACAAAAAGAAGGCAAAAGATCGCGCTTTTAACATGGAGACTATTAAAAAAAAATTGCCAAGATGACAAAAAAAAAAGGTTTTTGTTTTGCCATCAAACAGCATTCGTGGTTTGTCGCTGTAGTGGGATGGTCGTTGCATGCACTCCACTAGCAACAGCCCAAGCAACCACAAAATACAAACCAGTAACTTACCTCCGTAGGACAGATGAATCTGCTCGGGCTCCACATAGAGAACGGCACCCACTACCGTCTCTCCCACAAGGGCCAAGACAACCATACCGACGGCCTGGACGACAGTGAATGCCATTTCGCCGAGGTCCGACGCTTTGAAGCTCGAGCGTCAGAGATGTCTTCGCTGGTACAACGTGCAGCTTTCCGGGACGGATAGCGTCCTTTAGAACGCGGCTTTCACGAAACAAAGCGGAGACAAACAGACGGCCGGCTCCACAAGGTCAACACATTGAAGAGCAGTCAGGCGAGGTTGCGTTGTCACGAGGCCTGGGTCGTTTGGAGTTTACCCATGTTCACAGGAGGAGATGAGATGTGGGAGATTCATGAAACTCGACCGGAAACCCGAGAGGCTGCGCGCTTATCGGCTTTTCGAGCGATATTTCCCTCTCCATCTTTCGGGAACTCTCTATCATCGTGCAACGCGTCAACGTCGCGCGACTGGCATGCTCCCTAGAGGCAGCGGCGTAGGCGGATGCGGCTTGTTTGCGGGCTTCCGCTGCGTGTCGATCAAGTGAAACACGATACCGTCCTTGTTTTATCGCAACGCTTTCACAAGAAAGAAAAAAAATGAAAGCTCGCACGTGAGGGGGACAGCAGACATATCGTACATATGGCAGACAAGAAGAGAAAGAGACGGATCCCTGTTGCTCCTATGGGGGTTTTGAGCCTGCGTTCCAGAGGTCTCAAGATATTTGCGTGTGGTACGTTGTCATAGGCGTCATAGTCAGGTGTTTATCCACAATTGTAAATCGAAAAATGGAGGGCGGGGGGGGGGGGGGGGGGGGGGATAACACTTTTTTTTGGAGCCGGACATTTCGATGTAGGACGTTTCGGTGTTTTCGGTGCACGGATGTTTCGGTGTACGGACATTTCGGTGGACGGGTGCAAATACGGTGTATGTTTGGAAGTAATTGCTAAAGCAGACAATGCAGGCCTTTGTTAACTTTTATATTTTGCTGCATGAAAGGTACAAGATGTTCTGATATAGATTACAGATTTGTCTTAATTTAGCTGTCTGCTTTTGTCGATTTTGAAAAAGATAGGAAATATAGACATCAACAAGTGAAATAATTACGTCTTCGATCCAACAATAACATTTTCAGAAATTTTAATGCGCGCAAATATATCCGAATACAGTTGTAAAAATTGTCATTATAAAAGAAGTAAGAAAAAAAAAAACACTAAACAATCAATGCATGAAAAGATTTAAGCTTTTTCTTAGCGACATGCATTGATGCAATTTAAGAAAATATAATAAGGATCGTTATTTGTAGATGCAATGATAAAAGTCGTCCATACCGGCTAGAATAGACCCCAAATTTCTAGGAGGGGCTGCTTCTTGCACGCTAATTAAGTACTCGTTGCGGAATGAGCACCCCCATTCCATTCCAACACCATTCTGGGGATATTCCATTCCTTTCAACTTCTAGGTAATGGGCTCATTCTCACACCTGGAATGGCTAAACCGTTCCACATAGTTTTCACGGACGTCTCAGCCGGGACTTGTGGGATATGTCAGCTCCATTGCCAGCTTGCCAGGTACTGACCAGGGGCAGATGCAGGAATTTCCTGAGGGAGAGGCGGGTCAGCTGTTGGTCAGCGTACCATATGTTTAGGAACCCCCTCCCCCCCCCCCCCCCCCCCCTCCCTCGTTTCACGCCCTAAATATTACACATGCAGAAATCAAGAGGGGGGTCAGGACATCCGGACTCCCCTCCCCCTCTAAATCCGCCCCAGGTGCTGACATAGTTTCGGTTTCGGGATCGGCACCGGCAACGTGGGTCGCTGCTGCGTTGGCTGCGTCGCTGCGGCGCACGCGGTGCACGTTTCTTTCTTCTGGTGTGCGGTCGCGGTCGCAGTGGTGCAGTCATGCCGATGTGCGCGATGTTCGGCTGCCAAAGCAGAAGCGAGTCGCAGAGTAGCACAGAGTCAAATGTAGGGCCGTACCGTTTGCCAAAGGTGATAACGCGACAGTGTGGGCGTACAAAGCTGCTGTCCGAGAAACGCCAAAGCCTGTGGCTTGCTCGCATACGTGGGAAGTGTCCGTGTCTGCGGACGTCACTTCATTACCGGTAAGGTATACGTTGCTCAACTGTACGTGGATTGCTGGATACTTCTTTTCGCACCCTGTGCGCATTGTCATAGCGGCCGCAGGGCAGTGTTTGGTGTCTGGTAGCGTCACGCTGCAGGGATGTGCTTTTATCTTTCTCGCAGCGTTTCTGTAATTGTGTAGTGTTTGTAGCACGCTTTTGTCGATGGTGTTGCGGCGGCGGCGTCGAGTTTACCCAGCTAAGGTGCTGCGAATTTTAATGCGGCAAGTGCGAGCACATCTCTTCGTTTGCAGACAAACCTTCGGCTCTTCGGCTCTCATAAAGAGGTTTGTTTTATTGCCTGTCAGCTCGCCTTGCTCGTCACAACGATACGCTTCGATGGGAGACGCATCGCTGTCAGGCTCTTCACCCATCCAGTCGTGAAATAGTTTTGAGCATTCAGAGCCTTGCCTTGAAGGCCTACACTTGTTGCAGCGGCACGTAGTTCGACGACAAAACCAGGTAGTTAATTACGTCCACGTACGTCGTGGCTGGCTGCACGTCCGATTCTGGAGCGGTGTTTGCGCCGACGCGTAGCCAGCGTAGCGTGTACGGATCGACGCCGTCGTGCCACTATGGTCGTGCATCTTTACTTTTCGCGACACCAACTAACTATAGGTGGCGCCACTCATTTTCCGAAATGGCGGTTATAGTCAGGGTCGGAGATGCGTGCCGCTGCTGAGCCTACCTAGTGTGCTGGCTTCACAGAGCGGCACAAATTATTTCTGGTCATACGAGGGAGCTAGGGTGTTATGAGCGCAGAACACCTCTTTATCCGGAAAATAAAAACGGTGTTTAGCGCAATACTTATTCCAGGAGGCATGTTTTAATTCTGGGGCGAAACCGAAACTAACCTCCATTTTGAATTTAATTTCTCGATATAGGTTTTAATTTTGAATTCTTTCATAACTAAATATGTGTCTCACATCGTAATTGTTTAGTTAAAGAAGTTGTTCGCGGGAACTTTCGTTTGTGACATACATGTTTGATTCAGGCACTTCAAAATATTTCGGAGATTTCAATGCCCCTTTAAAGACGGGGTCTTTTATAGAATATCGGAGCTGTTAAAAAAATCAGTGCTAATATATGTGCGTTCTTGCTGCCTTTTCTGGCTCAGATTAGTGCCATGTGAAATAATGAACTGTGGGCCTTTTAACGGGTTTTTGGTATTTTGATGATTAATTGCTTTAACATTATTCTAGCACAAGAGTAATATAATAAATCAATTTTTTACACTATGTCCCCAAAACATATAAATTAATAAATGCTGTTCTTACTACAACAACCCAAAGACGGAATACGAGTCAGACAGCTTAAGTGTGTGTGTTTTTTAACGCGTGACGCATAGGACTGTATATTGCATGCAATGCTTGTCTGTTCGTCTATCTTGATAACGATGTCAGAGTTTTTCATATGCTAAAAAGAAAAACAAAAAATGACACCTTTTCGGAAAGACTATTATGGTTAAATGGCGTATTTTTGTGATCGTAGCTTTAATTGGGGAGGCATCCATTCCCGTGATTTGTATTAATAATCATAATATTAAAATTCCGATATTTTAATACGCAATTTTTCAATCTTTAGTATATATGGCTGCTTACAATACCAATTTCAAACGCGCGAACAAGTATGACAATCAAAGGTGTGCTAATTATCATCACTGGTGCCAAATGCAGTATTTTTAATTGCCAAGTTATAAAATAAAAATAATCTAAAATCAATCAAAACGTTTTCGCTATAGTGTGAGAATCCATGTAAAATAACATTAATTCTGCTTAAAGCATATTTTCTATCAAAGTCGCGACTTTTGACAATCGGCAAGAGTTACAAAGTAGCCGTCAAAATCATTCCGGACCAAATGCCCCAAAACAAACAATTAAAAATAAAAGAATTTTTTTTTTTAATTACCAGTTTTTTCATAACATTTAGTTACTTTCATTTGTACGCGCCGTCGCCTTGCAAATCTCAGCCTTTCCAGTTCGAAGGAACGCCTACCTGCTTGCATGTCTGCTCACTGCAGCACGTTGCGTTGGCGTTGAAAGCCGGGGAAACAGTCATGAATTTTAGTATTGCGTATACGAGCGAACGCAAGCGCTGTGCGTTCGCGTTAGCGCGTGCGCGGAGCCCGAAATCGCGGTCTTGGTTTGGCGCATGGCGATGAGGCGCACGCACGACCGTGGGGCACGCAGCCCTAACCCAAACGCACAGCGCTTTCGTTTGCTTCTGTACGCAATACTAAAACTTTCTAGTACGGTACACCCCCCAGCATTATGAAAGACCCATTAGAGATTGCATTTTGAGGTGGATCTGCCGAATCCGCTTTGACAAAAAAAAAAAAAAAAAAAAATAAATAAAAATTTTTTTGTTATTGCGGAAAAATAAATTAACCTTCGTTCCTTCCCTTCCCTCAAAATTGTATGTGTCTGGCATGTGTATGCTTAAGACCAACGCGCAAACTGAATAGGCGAATGGCCGGGTCTTTCATATTGCAGGGGACTGTACAATCCCATAGCGGCTGCACCACTACGTTGGGACAGTGAAGAGTGTTGTCTGCGTTCGGAAATGACATTTCGCGAGCCATGATCGCGCACAGTTCCGTCGTTCCCGCTGAACAGGAGAATCGGCCGGGGGACTCTCACTAGAGCGCTTCCCGTTTCCGCCGCGGGAGGGCGAGCGACGAGCTGGAGTCATATCGAGCCCGTGTCGGGCCCACAAGCTCTTCAAAATAGGAAGGGCACAACTCATTGCGAGTGGCTTTCGGCATCGCGCTGTTCGGGTGATACAAGTTCCGTAGCGAAGTAGCAACTGAACGGCGCACATGTAGTGGCGGCAGCGTCCGCGTCTGCTTCTCAGTACCTGGCGATGGCGGCCGGCGGGCGGAAGTACAGGAAGTGACGTCACGTGGGAACTAAGTTACTGTTCTTATTCACCATAATAGAGCATTTCCAAAATTTCTCTAGGCAACAATGAGCCGCTGCCTTGACGGCGGCTCATTGTTTATCTGAAAACGGGGACGGATTTTGAAGAAAAAAATTCACCGCACTTGACGTGTAGTTCATGTTGTAGAAATTGTGCAATCATATTTAAGCGTCTACCTTTTATGCGGTTTCCACGTCTCTTGGGGTTCAGGCAAGCCAGCGGGCACGGAAAGAGTAGCTAAATATCAGTGCCCCATATTTTAACCGGACGACACGGAAACCTCCTCCACCGACGAGGGCGACCACCGGTACCGAAAGCGCGCAAAATGTGACGTCTTTGGTCCTGGGCTTACTACTGGTCAGAGGCACTAAAAACTTCTTTTTGGTCGAAATACAAAATATAAGTGGCGCGAACCGTTTCAATTATTTGTAAAAGTAGTTTTTGTTCACTATTATAGACGAAAAA